GATACCAGTTCTATGTAAGGAAAGTTCAATCACAAAGGAGAATGGGCTGCCCTGCAAAGATGTGGGTTCCCCCAAGCAGCAGAGGCTGCATGATTGCCAAGGGCTGCTACAGAGGGCATTGCTGTGAGGGTGCTGTGGAGCTAGACCCTGCAGGGACTCATCAGGGCACTGCCATCATTCTGAATCATCGATAACCCAGGTCTCTTTCATTTTGTCTCTGCTCTTTATTTTGTAATGGTTTAATCCCTGCTGCATAGTCCCCCTATATGCCTATGAAGGATTAACATTTTTAACTCTATTTTGTTATACTGTGGACAGAATTAATACAGGCACTTGAAAATGGAGATGAAATGATCTTCAGTGTGCATATTGGGAGTATACCTGTATGTGTGTGTGTGTGTGTGTGTGTTCCTCTCACCTGGCTTTGATCACGCTTAACTGTATTTTTTAAATGGGCCTGTTTTGTTCATAGGGTTTAGCTTCTTAGTGTTCTAGAAGCTTCCATTTCATCATCCTTGTGATAAAGATGACGAGCAAGGAATTTTTTGTTGCATTTGTCAAAGAACAATGGATAACTCTGGGGCAGAAACTGCCTTCTCATTACTGAAAAGCCTTTCATAGCTGCCTGAACCATTGCCGTCTGCACAGTAAGGCCAATCACACTCAACCATTGTTAATTGGATGGCTAGGTTGGCTTCTAACACAGTGCCTTGTCTCTAAGACCTTTCAAATTCCTAGTGATCACTCATTGTAATACAGCATATACACCAGCATTACTCATTATAATACAGGTTGATACCAGCATCTCTCATTGTGATATAGATTTGGGAATAAAATTAAAATGCTCAGGGTTTAAACTAGCCTTTCTTGTGCAACTCAGAAAAGCCCTAGGAGGTGAGTAAGGTCTAAGTACCATTTGGACTATGTAGATACTAAAGTGATTACACTAAAAGGCATTTTTAAATAATATCATTTAATTTAAAATAATATTGGTTCAAAATTTTGCCATATGAAATGGGCATTGCTATGTCATTTGAATGTACATATTGCACTAATATTCATTAAAATAATATACAATTTTCCAAAGAAACTATTTCCATCTTTTGGAATGAGCCCAATATAACATGGTGCTGAGAAGAAGAAAAAAACAAAGTTACAAAAAGGAGAGTGACTTTTATTTCTGTTAAATACTGGACATGACAAAAGCTGGAAAATCAAAAATCACTGGAAGAGGAAAGAAAATCCTCCATGAATTAGTAATCTCTCCATCAGAATGAAATACGAACTTGTTAGTGTTCTCTTCAATTTGGTAGATAAGAAGTGTTAACCAGGTTAGAGATTCAGCCCAGGACACTGTAGTTTCATGGTGAAACCATAGGAGTATCTGAAGCATGGCAGCCTTGTGGTCCAGCTAGAATTCATTCATTCATTCATTCATTCGTTCGTTCATTCGTTCATTCATTCCCTCAGTAAGCATTTATTAAAAGCCCACTAGATTGAGGCACGACGTGCTTTATCTCACAATGGCGCAAGTGGTACCAAGTTCAATTAACCAATAGAAAGGACCGTCTCTCCCCATTTGGAGCAGATGTTGGAGCAAGCCTAATCCTGTTACTGTTGTTTGATATCTAGTAAGACCCTACATATGAGGGTTACTCCAGGCATCAATCTCACTGAAGCAGAGAATGTACGAAGAAGGCAAAGCTAATCCTCCTACTGGGTACCGCACAAAGCATTTTGCTCATATCCACCATGGCCCTCCTTAGTGACATAAGCCTAGGAAAATGAATAAACATAAATTTCCACGTCCAAATCAGTGTTTTCAAAACACAAGTTCAACTGCTGAATTGTCCTCTCAAAAAGCAGAGGGTTTATTATCATTCATAGTCACCCATAAATGTTAAACTGTCATCCACTTAAATTAGTAAAGTCATCAACTTTCAGAAAGGGCTTGCCTTTGAACTGTATTTCTTAAGTGCTTAAAAGAAAACGTGCAGACAAATCCATCTACCATACATTTTCCAATTCTCTCATATCTTTTCCAGCCAAATTTTCCAGAAATATTGATGTTAATTATAGAACCACATATGTTGATGTGAAAAAATATACCTACAATTTTACATCTATCAGTTAGTTTACTGGGGAAAATGCTGAAAGGAAGCTACCTTCTGGTCAATAAATTAATTACAGAATGAGTTGATTTTTTAACGCTGAAAAAAGATATTTTCTTCTCATTCATGTAACCTCCCCCAGAAAGTCATTTGCTTTCCTGTGTTAAGGCACGTATATGGGTGACATATGAAGGACAAAATGTAACCCTGCTGGTGGCAGGGTCTTCTCTTCCTCAACATTTTATGCACGATGAGCAAGTTACTTAGAGTTAGATGATACCCTCAGAGGAAAAGCTACCTCCAGTCCTCTAAAAGAAACACCCTCCCCTAGAAAGTTAATTCACTTTTGAATTTATTGTTGCATGAATCCTAACCCGGACCCTAAGGTATGTAGCTTGTACTTGGTAAACTACAGATAAAACTCTGCAGTTAACTTGAAGTTAGGTTAGATATCAAGCTACAAGGAAGCTCAGAGAACATTAAGTCCACTGAATCACATTGACTCACTTATTTGACTATTCCCATGAATTTTTAAATGGAGATACAGGCTGATGTTCAGAGTACTGAAAGTAGATCAAATAAAACTTTTTGTATTTGATATTGTTCATTGAAAGAGGTTTCTAATTCTGTTCCTTTATTGCCTAGGAAGCTGACTCTGATGATAAAATCAAAAGTGTATCTATTGACCATGACATTGGACTTGGATAGTGGCTTTGAGTAGAGTGGGAGTACCCAGGATTCTTTGCCAAACTGAGGGAAAGGAGAGGGAGAGAACCAGACAGACTGACAGAGAGAGGGGAGAGGGGAATCATTGGAAATAACAGTCCTTGAATTCTCTGCTTCTCCTCACGGACAGGAAATCATGACAATGGAGGGATTCTTGACTTCATCTCCTAAAGTCACAGTGAGACGGTGGATAGTGCAAAGCCTTTAATTCAAAGTGATTGTCTCTCAAACTGGAAATTAACAAGGCATTGCCGCGTCTAAATCTGCCCCGCACCAAGGTTTCCTAGGAGTCTTAGCTAGGACTGTCTGTATCAGGCGTTAAAACAGAAGTCACACATTTAATCAGAGCGTCTTTTATTTTGCTGCCTCAAATGCAGTTCAAAAGCATGTTGATTGCTTCTATTATTCTGGCCCCAACTTTTGGGGGCCAAAGTTAATAGATTTGGGTCCACAGCCATAGTTTTAAAACTTCAAGGGACCTTGGAGACCATGTAGTCTAGCCCCCTCATTTTACAGTTGGAGCAACTGAGGCTCAGAGAAGTTAAATTATTTGCCCAGGGTCAGGCACCTAGTAAGTGTCAGAGGTGGAATCTGAACCCAAGTCCTGCTGACAACAAGCTGAGATTCTGTACTCTCCACCACAGTGAGATTCATCCTGTGTTGTCTTGGCAAGAAGAACATGCTCACATTTTATCTCCTTTTGAAGATGCTGTTACAATCTCAGCCAATCGTTCAATTACAGTTCCTGAGTTGGCTTCCCTGTGGGGTCTCTCCCCCGGATGCCTACCAGCCCTTCACATTTCTGTCCAAAGTTGAATTCGTCACCTTCCTATCAAAACCTGCCTCTCCCTTCACTTTGATAACACCCCCATCATCCCTGTCAGTCAATCTCAAGTCCTGGGAGGTATCCTTGACTCTTCCTCTACATCTCCCATTGGATCCAATCATGCCAAGTCCTGTCCATTCCTCCTCTCCCACCCATTCCATCCTCTCTGCTCTTGTTTAGTCCCTTACCTAGCTTTGCTCTTTTCTTTTTGGTCCTGGCACTGTGGTCTCCTCAGTATAGGTCATTCTTGGTGGGGACCTTCCTCCACCAATTCAGGTCCACCCCTGCCCAGCTCTTTAGAGCCTTAGAAAACTGCCTGGACTCGGAGAGGTTAAGCACCTGGTCCCAGGGTTTTCTGTCTCCCAGATCATGTGTCTGTTCACTTGGTTCACTGTCTTCCTCCTCATCCACATTGCTGTGATAACCCCCTTACTGTTGTAGCTGGCACTCCCCTTTATCCTTAAACACACCCTCCCTTCTAGCATTTATAAAGCACTTAGGTAGCAAATGTTGACTCCTTTTTCTACACGAAAGGGAAAAGGGAGCTGAGGTAGAAACTTCAGGGACCAAAGCAAGATATTATTTGTGGGACAGGGAAGACATGAGTATATTTGTAAACAGAAGAGAAGACGGGATAGAAGATGCACAAGATCTCTGCTCTAAAGAGAGCTTGGGCATTACTAAGATAGGGGACTGTGAATATGGAACACTAGATACCATGTCCAACTTGGTTCACGTGTTGGATAGATTTGATAAACATTTTTTTCTTTTTTTTGTTCTTTGTTATAAGTCCGTGGTTCTCTGGAAGGTATGTGGAGGGGGGAGGAGTGTTAAATTGGATGACATGAAAATAAAAGACATCAATAGCATTTTCGAAGGAAAAGAGAAGAGCACAGGATTTGACATCAAAAGACTTGGATTCAAATCCTTCTTCTAGGTTTGTTACCTGAGAGAAGATGTTTAAACTCTCAGCCTCAGTTTCCCTCCTCCGTAAAGTAGAGATATTAATGTTGATGATGCCTATTCACAGGACTGTTTGGAGGAAAGTGTCCATTAACCATGGCACGTGATATCAATGTGAGCTATGAAGGGGGTCAGGAGGAAGGTGGGGGCTTCTCCTGAAAATGCTAAATATATGTCAACCATCTTCCCATTAGACATCTGGGATTTTTTAAGTCAAAAGGAGGCTAGGAAACAGGTAGCTTCAACCCTCAGTGAATTCATTTTTTCTGCCAAGTTGTTTTTGCAAAGTGCTGTGTTTAGTTGGTTTCTGCAGCTATCTATGCTTACATATTTTTTCCTAAATGGTGAGATAATTATTTCTGTTTTGTTCTCAGAGAGGAAAAAAGGGGAAAAGAGGCAAAAAGGAGAAAGACCTGACCCCTGACAGGTAAAGAATGTACTCGTTCTCTGACATATTTGCCCCTGAGCAGCAGCAATGCTGTAGTGGCCAGAGTCCCTACTAAGAGTCAGATCTCTGACCTTGACCCAGACCGTGAACCTCTCTGAAGTCATTTTCCTCATTTTCCTAGTGGATTATAGGATCTCTCGTGTTGAAAGTTGGAAAGTTTACAGTTCTGTCTAATCCTAACCCTTCATTTTACAGATGAGGAAACAGGTCCATATCAGGAAACTGGCTTGCCCAAGATTGTATGGGGGTCAATAGCAGAGCCTGAATTTAACCCAGCTCCTTTGCCTCCAAATTCAGTCATCTTCCCACTGTTACCCCATTTTGTCCAAGCAAGGAAGTAGAGTGGTGTGATGGAAGGAACTCCGGTTCAGGGTCAGAGAACCTGGGTTCACATCCCAACCCTGCGCGTAGCCTGTGTGTGATCTCAGGGGTGGCAGTCTATGGGCTTCCTTCTCCTCATGTTTTAACAACAGCAACAATTAGTATGATGATTATTATTAATATTACAAAAATTATGTGGAGAAGAGGTAGAAACTTTCACTCATTGCTGCAGGCTGTTAGAATTTAGCATCTACCACCAAATACCTGGCAGACATACCTTGGCTGTAGAATTATCCATCAGAGTTTCAGGATATTTCACGGTTTGACTGGTGATGAACGCCCTCCCACTAATACAGACCTCAAAACAGCCCTGGAGAACTCAACCAAAAAACTTCCTGGGGCCAGAGCATTCTCAAGAGTTGCTTTCACAGTCACAGAGCCATGACATCGATCTAGAAAAGGACGAGGTATGTCATTGATGTTGTCACACTAAATCCCATGATCTTGAAGGAATGTGGAAGTCCAGCAACCTGGCCAAGAAGCTCAAAGGCCTAGGGGACCAGGAGGAGCCCACAGGGGAGGGTCCTCAATTCTAATGCTTTCGTTCTGTTTTGGCTTTTAACTCTATCCCCAGCACTTAGCCCAGTGCC